GTGAATATCTCAAACGAGTCAATCAGACGGTCGTTGAATTTGGGCTACTCCCCGAAACCCATAAAGTGAAATGTGATGTCTTCATTGCATGCGCACGTGACAAAATTCATGCTCTGCGTTTGACCTATCACACACATGAAACTCACACAAGTGGGGCTCTGGGTGGCTATTTAAGTGCCAGGGGAGCAGTTATGGATTAGTCAGAGTCAGAGATTCTTTATTGTCATTTGCACCACATGCGGTACATGTGGTGGAGCGAAATTATGTACACAGGGTCTCAGTTACATCCAACAATAAAATGTAAAAGAAAAGTAATGATAACATCTAAGATATGAACTAAGAAAAACATCAACTAAAATATACTAAGCACTAAGCATTATGTGTCTTGTTCAAGGACACCACAATAAATGGGCATGGCAGGGAGTCAAACATGTGACTTTTTAGTCCCAAGACAACTATCCTACCACTGCCCCACAGTCGCCCAATCTGCTGTGATTCCCACACTAAACCTAAACTCCGCAAACAAAACGATAATAAATGAAATACATGATTAAGAACAATGAAGTGGCACAAGACTTGTGTCTATAGTCGTTGGACAGAGGGTGGAGCAGTAACCAACGTCTGCTGAGCTGACCCCAGCAGCCTTCAGCTTTTAGCTTCCTGACTCTTCTCTCAGTTAGCAGAGCTTGTTCTTTTTAAAGTTGTGCCAATTATTTGTGCTGTAATCAATTAATTGTGCTGTAACTATCATACCCACCACTGCACCCAGTATTCACTGGTTTACTGGTCATCATTAACTTCACACAGACTCTCTCACTGGTACATTTTCATCTTTAAATCTTCTTGGTCTGTTGCCTTCATACATCTCCTCCTACATGTCTCTGCGTGAGTGCAACTACAGCGTGCGCTCCCAGGACATTATTACAAGCAATGTCCCCTCAGTGTGGACTGAACTAGGCAAAAAGGCCTGCTCCTGTTTCCTGGAATATCTTGCAAAAGGATCTGAAGCTCTCGACATTGACCTCTCTAAGTGGCTTTAAACATTTGTTTTGTTCCTGGCAAAAAAACAATGCAGACATGTTCCTGTTTTTAGTTTTCTACACCGTTTTATAATCTAGCTGTTTTTTTTTCTTTCTTTTCACTACTTTTCCTTTTGATTGTCCTTGTGGTTGCTATTTTGTTTTGATTTGTAAAAAAAAAAAATCTGTATGCCTCTTTTGTGACTGTACTTTGTTGCCGCTGTTATCCACAGTTGTCATCAATCTTTGTTAAAGACGTCAGGTCTCTCTAGTAAATGAGTCACTGAGGCTCAATGGGATTAACCTATTTAAATAAAGGTTGAATGAAAATTAATCAGCGCTAGAAATGAATGACATATTAATATAATAATTCAGTAGACACACACTCAACAAAAGACACAAGGCCACCAACTAGCTGCTGCTAACTCTGCTAGCAACTTATCTTTGTTTCCTCATAATTACCTGTCCATTGAAAACATCATTCAAGTATTCTGGTGTTAGAGCTGAGCTCACTCAGGAATGTAATATCAAATTTTCAAATTTTACTTTTCACTTTCTTTTCAAAATACTGTGGCTAAAACAGAATGCTTGATTCCCGACCCCCCCCCCCCCTTTTTCTTTTGTGAGGGGTAGTTGGCAGTAGGTGTTGTGTTGAAATAAAAAGCACCCTGACTCGAAGCACGCAGTTTTCTTGTTGTATCTTTCTGACAGTTTATCTGACCCCCCACCCCCACCCCAACACACACACACAGACACACACACACACACACACACACAC